CCCTGAGCTTCAATTTTTATTTCCAAAAAGAAAAAAAAAAAGATAGTACCAGTTTTATCAAGGGCTATAATGTTTATGAAAGGAGAATGTTGCTTATCACCCAGCATGGCACTAGACACATGTTTGGAATTCCCTACCCAGAGTCTCTACCCTGTGCCTCATCTTTAAATGTATCTGCCATCAGCTACTCTCTTGGTAGAAGCACACTCAGTGGGAATGAGTGGAGGTGAAAATGTGGCGACAGTGAGGAGTCATGGGGAGGAGAAAGAGACTGGGGGAGGTGGAAGCCAGGAGGAGCTGGTGACCTGGGATTTCGAATTAAAGGTGGATTAAGTGGCGCTCAGCATCCTCTGAAAGCAGCAGGATGCCTGCTGGGAGGTGGTGGGGGGACAGGGGGCGAAGAAGACTCTTAGTGACCTGATGGGCCCCCGTGTGTGTGTTGACGCTTGTTGGGGCCACTCTCAGACTGCAGAAATTCACAAAGACAGTGTGTTCACGTGGGAGCCCTGCTCCTCTGTAGCCTAATCAAGTCTTGACATTTGAATTTCTAACTAATTTTTGGGAAATAACTTTTCAGATTCTCATCATATAGTACTTGTTCAATATGAATAGAAATAATTACTTTGCTGAAGTGATTAGCATGCCCAAGAATAACTATAGACTTTCTCCCAGTTTTTACTTTTAGATAAATGTCAAATATCTTCCTTAAAGTGCATTGGATTTCTCTTCTCTAAAGAATCATTGAAAAGTGGTAAAATATGATGAAGGTGAAGGGAAGTACCGAAAAATAATGAGAAATGTGCATGAGAAGAAAGCCAAGTTGACCTGGCAGAGAAAATTTTCTCGGCAGTGATTGTAGTCACCACAGAAGTAAAAGCTGACAATACTCATTTCTTCTAAAGGAGAAGAGCAGTAAGTGGGTGTGTTTTCCCCAGACAGTGCTGGAAGTCTAGTTCAGAATGGAAGGCTTCTCCATTCTGAAATGGGGGCCCTTTATGGCAAAGTCAACTCACAACTTCTGAGATCAGGTCTGGAGACCCAGCCTGGCAGCTCAGGGAGTGACCTTGTATGAAGCATGTAACCTACCTGAGCGTCAGTGTTGTCAACTCTGAAGTGAGAATGCCAGATTTACCTCAGGATAAACTGTCATAAACCAGGAAAAAGCAGTCCATCCTAAAGGAAATCAACCCCGAATATTCACTGGAAAGACTGATGCTGAGTCTGAATCTCCAATACCTTGACCAACTGATGCAGTGAGCCTACTCATTGGAAAAGGCCCTGATGCTGGGAAAGATTGAGGGCAGGAAGAGAAGGGTATGGTGGAGGAGGAGATGGCTGGATGGCATCACCGACTCAATGGACATGAAATTGAGCAAACTTTGGTAGATAGTGAAGGACAGGGAAACCTGGCATGCTGCAGCCTATGGAGTCTCAAAGAGTTGGACATGACTTAGTGACTAAACAACAATAACAGCAAACTGAGATGACACGAGATGACATGCAGGGTGTCAGATACCACCTTTGGCATCTTGATGAAGGAGATGAGTCTCTTTCCTTCCGTTCTTTCCCTCAGGAGAAAGAGATAGGGTAAGTGATGGCTGGAATAGGGCCCTAGACTCCTGAACCCTCAAACTCCCTAGATATACTCCGCAGACATGCAGGAAAGGTCTCAGAAAAATCTTCTACATGTAGTTGCCCAGGGCTAATGGAGCAAGTTCAACTGAATCACACAGAGTATCCACTCACACAGAGCGCCCCACTTTGATCAGAATAGAAGGTCCTAACGACTTCTTTATAACTTTTCAAGACATAACTTCCTGGTGGCTCAGACAGTAAAGCTTCTGCCTGCAATACGGGAGACCCGAATTCAATCCCTGGGTTGGGAAGATTTCCTGGAGAAGGAAATGGCAACCCACTCCAATATTCTTGCCTGGGAAAGCCCATGGACAGAGGAGCCTGCTACCAGGCTACCCTACAGTCCATGCGGTCATAAAGAGTCAGATATGACTGAGCAACTTCTCTTCACTTCACTTCAAACCTAACAGCCTCTTGGAGGTTCAAATGAAGCCCATCCAACCAACCTGGGTCCTTTGCTTTGATTTCAAAAATGGGTAATACTTCTACCTGATGCAGTAAGATAAGGGTTTCATGTTGGAACATTTTAAAAAGGTTCCCCTCCCTGCCCAATCTTTTCAGGCCTTTGGTCTAGAACAAAGAGGGGATGAAGTCTCTTGAATCGCTTTCCCTCAGCTCCACAGCCAATTGTACCATTCAGACGAGTAGGGAAAGCAAGTGCAAGATAAAACATGATAAGAGAGGATGGTGAAAGAAGTGTTTGGGTCAATGGCTTGGGCAAAACTGAACTGATCCTATTTTTCCTTGACCCTACCAGACAGTCCTTGAGAGGGCTTATCTTGGATGATTTTCTGTGTTTTTATTTTCATTTTAAAATTTTCCTTTAAATGATGTAACCTCTATGCTACAAGGAAAGAATCACTTGTATCAAAGGAACTTTATATCCACATTTAGCAAATAGAGAAGAAGCTGGCAGCCCCTTACATGACCACCAGGCATTTCTCTTGTCTGTTCCAAGCCTGCCCTTTGGGAGAGATATGACCAGTTATGTGAGCCAAATAGATTTCTAACCAAGAGAAGCCTCATCAGCAAATCATCCCCTTAAATGATACGGAAGTCCCTGGCTTCAGTTATAAAAGACTCTTGGGATAGGATGCTTCTTTGCATTTTGAGGGCTCTGCATAAAATCTGGGTATTTTTCTCAGTTCTGGTCCACACTCCATTACACACTTTAATGACTGCATTAAAATTCTCAAATGAAGCTTTGGGATAAAGGGCAGCTGATTATATTTATTCACCTTTCAGTGCTGACATCACTGCAATATGCTTGCTTTCTTTGCTGAAAGGTACTTATAATATCCAAAGATGTGTTAATGGAACTATAGTTTAGAAGTAAGTAACGGCTAGTCTGCCTAACTGGAGAAGAAGCGTGTCACAGCAGAAAAACCACCAGGTGGGATAAAGGAGGCTGAGTTCTAGTTCCTGGCTGGGTCCCTCTGGAAAATCATGTTACCTCTTATAAAGTGAGAGGATTAGCTTTGATGATGTCTATGATTGTTTTCAGTGGCAATTTTAAATGCTTGTGACTCAATGGCTTCCAAGAAATGCCCTTCAGGTATTAGATGTAAGACTGGAGAATCAAGCAGGATGACTGTGTCAAGAGATCTCTTCCAAGTTACTCAGAAACCAAAAGCTCTACATCTGCATGGAGGGGTTGGTCTACTTGTGAAATCAGTGCGCATTACCAGTCAACCACACAGCTCACCCAATACCTTTTAAACTAGTAAGTAAGTAAATAAGAGTTAGTTACTCAGTCAGGTCTGATTGTCTGACTCCATGGACTGTAGCCTGTCAGGCTCCTCTGTCCATGGAATTCTCCAGGCAAGGTTACTGGAGTGGGTAGCTATTTCCTTCTCCAGGGGATCTTCCCTATCCAGGGATGGAACCCAGGTCTCCTGAACTGCAGGCAGATTCTTTACCATCTGAGCCCCCTGGGAAGCCTGGACAGTGCAATAACACCTTGTGCCATTTTAGATAAAACATTACCTTCGGTGAGAGTGACCACTTGAAAAACACAAAGTCACCGATTAGGTCATGCAACTATAACCTGGCTATTTTTGCCTACTTTCCTCCAATTCAATTCCTGACTCTTATTAATGCTTCTATTTTATTATTATTATTTTATTAGCATTTGTTGAGGCGGAGTTGCTTTATAATGTTGTGTCAGTTTGCGCTGTACAACATGAATCAGCTATATGTATATATATATCCCCTCCCGCATGCACCCCGATGTTCATTGTAGCACTATTTACAATAGCCAGGGCTATATTCAATCTTAAATTGAATAGATAAAGAAGACGTGGTACATATATACAATGGAACATTACTCAACCATAAAAAGGAACAAAGTTGGGTCATTTGTAGACTTAGAGACTGTCTTACAGAGTGAAGTAAGACATAAAGAGAAAAGCAAAATATCTATATTAACAAACATATGTGGAATGCTTCTATTTTAAACACCTAGCTTGCTTTTCCCATTGTCTATGCTAGAGTTTCTCAAGGCATTTTAGGCTAAATAGTCCTTTGTTGAGGATGGGGGAGGGGTGGGGGTTTTGTGCCTTATAGAGTGTTTAGCAGCATCCTTGGAGTCTAATTACTAGCTGTCAGTGGAGTGTCACTGTCCCCAATACGATGACCAGAAATGTCTCCAGACATCGATAGAAATCCCTGAAGGGTGAAATCACTCTGATTTGAGAGTCTAGGTTTAATCTTTTTTTTTTTTTTTTTAGTTCTGAACTTTCTTTCTTGGGCATAAGACCAATGTTATACATCCTGAAATGCCCAGAAAGTAATACTCTGTTGTTATCACTCTTAACATTACTAACATCTTTCATTTATATAAGGTTTCACAATTTATCAAGTGTTTCCACCCACATTATCTATGGAGATCAATGCATGGCAGCTCATTGTCTGGAACAAATGAGGAGAGAGAAGCATCTTTTCTGTGACTTGTCCCTGTTTCCCTTTTACGCTGCACTTGAAATCTTGCATGTTTGACAGAAGAGGTCTTGCCATGAGGGCAAGTCAGGCATTGTATAAATAAAATTTGGCATGTTTCTGAGACATTAAAAACAAAAAGAATGCTTAATCACCTTGAAATGATACTCATCTCATTGTCTCCTGGCAGGATCTATTAATCTCTCAAGAAGGACACAGGACCACACATCTGTAATTACATACCGACAGCTGGTTTCAAAGAAGCCTGAGGCCAATGGCTCTTTAAAAGGGTTCTGAACACTGTGATCTTCAGCCTGACTGAACTGCTGGAGTTTTAGCTTACCGCACTCAGTGATACCGGATGGCATTTTTGAGAAAGAGAAATGAACACATTCCCCTCCTTTTCTCTTCCTCCCTCCCCCTCTTACCTGCTTAAGGATCTCAGCGGCTGTTTCATGTGAGCAATCAAATATCACGTAGAACTCCTTGCCTTTCTTCATTTCCTTGAGTAACGGCTTAGCATCTTTATTCCCAGAGGGCAGCTGGCGGATTTTGATTTTAATGTTATATCTGGAGGGAGCTTTGATGAGCTCTTGCAGGCGAATGAGACCTAGAAAATGACATTCAATCAGGCAACAGACTGTTCTGTCCAGAGTATTTGTTTATTGCCATTTAGAGTCAAACGCACATCATTCCCCCAATGTATCAAGAGGCTGCCTACCTAAAGGTTGCATTATTGACTGCTCATTTATCATTCCTCTTTCTATGGTGGTCATGCTATATTTTCCTTTTGTGGGTATGTGTGGCTAGAAGCACAATTTTACCAAGAGGATTTTGAATTTTTTTTAGAATGCAATTGTCCTCTCCAGCTTTTAACACAAATCTTTAGCAAATCAAGTCAATAACTGTAAAACTTTTGTAAACAAAATTTGCTTGATGTTTTCAAAGGTGCTTGAGGTAATGGATATACCGGCTTACTTAAAAACAAACAAACAAACAGTAAAATACTAGAATTTCTTGGGACTATAAACCTCTGCAAACCTTTCATCAAATATTTATATATAACATACTGTTTGCAGTTAATTGCTTGGGCTGTTCTATATCATCCTTCAGTTCCTGCCATATTTATAAATGACTTATTTTTTCTTTCTAATTAATTGAACATTGAATGGGAAAATATTTTCTTGATTAAAAGAAAAGACCACTGAATATTTAAAAAATCATGATAATAAGGGAAGAAGCATATTCTTTAAAAAATCTACTATTGGTAGTTATAGGAGTGTATATAGCTAACTAAACTAACTTGAGGAAGTATGTTTAATTCACCACAAAAATGAATCCAGTGAACTGCACCATTGTTTTAAACAGAAGTGTTTTACTAAGGCAAGACCAACAGCTATATAAAGCCTTAGTCTTATTTCCCCTAATGTTAACTGGTATTTGTTACACTGCATGATGTTGGCTCTTACTCAAGAACTCCCACTGGAAAATTGAATTTTTTTTTTTTATTACACAGTCTGTGCCTTCAGGATGTGTCAGCTTTAAGTAATCAATAGGAAATGTTAAGTTTTGTCACTATTCAGATAGAAATCGTGGTACACACCACGCAAGATACAGCATATACACGCCAGCTACCTCTGGACATGGGGCACTTCTTTTATTTATTTATTTTTTTTATTTAGTTATTTGTAAGAATCTGCCTGCAATGCAGGAGACCCAGGTTCTTTCCCTGGGTTGGGAAGATTCCCTGGAGAAGGAAGTGGCAACCTATTCCAGTATTCTTGCCTGGGAAATCCCATGGACAGAGGAGCCTGGTAGGCTACACTCCATGGGGTCACAAAGAGTCGGACATGACTGGGCGACTAACATTCTCACTTTTACCCTTTCCCCCAGAAGCTGCATTTTTGTGTCTAAGATGTTATGAGTTCTCTCATACCTTGGGTAGGTGTGGTTCTGAAGTACAGTAAATTTGAGAGAAAGTTACTCTTCAGGGTCAAATGAACCAGGGCAAGGAAAGAAGGAGTTGTAGAATCATATCAAAATTTAGTGCTCATTATCCTTCTTAATTTTTTAACTTCCTGGGAACTTGCTTCTTTTCAAATCAGTGTGATTGAAGGCTCCCAGGTACTGATGTGGTTAAAGGCTCCCTATTACCGCACCTACTTCCTCAGTGGCTCAATGGTTCAGTAGGTAAAGAATCTGCCTGCAATGCAGGAGACCCAGGAGATGCCAGTTCGATCCCCGGGTTGGGAAGATACCTTGGAGGGGAAAGTGGCAAACCAGTCCAGTATTCTTGCCTGAAGAATCCCATGGACAAAGGAGCCACGGGCTATACCCACGGGCTATACGATCTGTGGGCTTGCAAAGAGCGGACATGACTGCGCGCCAGCACACACAGGCACGGATGGGTTACTCGGTCTCTTGCTTCCAGAATCACTTGTCCTGAGCACCTGGCGGGTAGCTAGTAGAAGAAAACTGAGCACACTGATTGGTATATCTGTTCATCTTCATGCTAACCCTAGGAAGAAAGTGTGATCATCCTCATTATTTTAAGTACAAAAGCCAAGGCTCAGAGCAACGAAGTAACTTACTCATGGTTACAAAGATAGGAGGAGCCATGGATTCAAATTGCCTGTGGGTCCAGCTCTCAGTCTTTCCCTGTCACCATCATGCATTGTGAATACAAATTTGTTGATGCTTGAGGGAACAGGTATAACTTTGGATTATTTGATGGGATGGGGAAAAAGTTGAAAGAGGTACCCATCCTCCTTTCTTCTTTACTCTAGACTGCTTGCGAGTCTCTCCCATAATTTTTTTTCCCCTATTGTCCTCTTGCTTTACAATCAGATTTTTTTTTTTTAAATTTGAACATGACCACAAGGGAGATCAACATGGCCTTTAAATAAAATGAGCAAAAATTTTAAGAATTTCATTTCATATGCTGCCATGAGCTGCTCTTTTGTTCTTTGCTAAATGGAATGTCAGTCTTGAAGTGCATCTTCCTATCATGATGACTTAGACACGTTAAGAGCCTTTAAAGTTGAATCCTTTCTCTCCCTTCATTCATTCATGTTTATGGGAAAACATTTCCTGGCTGTTCACTGTATGCCAAGTACCACACCAAGAGTTGGAAACACATGAACACATCTTGCTTTAAGGTCTTCACAGCCCATAGAAGGATTTCATTCCATCAACTCTTGTGATGTTACATGGACATCTCTTATTACATAATTTCATAAACTATGACCCAAGGCTAATTGGGGCTGATCAGCTTGATCAACGTTGTTTTAAGGCTTGTTATTCAGTCACTAAGTCATGTCCAACTCTTTGCAACCTCATGGACTGCAGTATGCCAGGCTTCCCTGTCCTCCACTATCTCCCTGAGTTTGCTAAAGTTCATGTTCACTGAGTCAGTGATGCAATCTAACCATCTCATCCTCCACTGCCCTCTTCTCCATTTGCCTTTAATCTTTCCCAGCATCAGGCTCTTTTCTAATGAGTTGGCTGTTTGCATCCGGTGGCCAAAGTACTAGAGCTTCAGCTTCAGCATCAGTCCTTGCAATGAGTATTCAGGGTTGATTTCCTTTAGGATTGGCTGGTTTGGTCTCCCTGCTGTCCAAGGGACTCACAAGAATCCTCTCTAGCACCACAATTCAAAAGCATCAATTCTTAGGCACTCAGTCTTCTCTATGGTCTAACTCTCACATCTGTACATGACTACTGAAAAAATCATAGCTTTGACCATAAGGAATTTGTTGGCAAAGTAATGTCTTTACTTTTTAATGCACCATCTAGGTTTGTCATAGCCTTCCTTCCAAGAAGCAGTTGTCCTCTAATTTCATGGCTGCAGTCACCACCTGCAGTGATTCTGGAGCTTAAGAAGAGAAAATCTGTCCCTGCTTCCACTTTTTCCCCTTCTATTTGCCATGAAGTGATGGGACCCGATGGCATGATTTCAGGTTTTTTTTTTTAATGTTGAGTAAGGCTACTGGGTGACAGATCCAGGGCATAAAGCCAGGTCCAGCTCTGACTGCTCAGTCCAGGGCTCTTTTCACCAAATCAATCACCCCTCCTGACTATGAAATTTAAGATCACATATTTAACTGACTGAATGACTAACTAACTATATAAATAAATATCTGTGTAAATAAATAGAGAGAAAGAACTTTAGACCAGCATAAAACCTTCAGTGTTTATTTGGCAAATGAATCCATTATTAAACAGGTTCCCTCCTCCTCCAAAAAAGTAGCTGTTAGCTTTCACAATTGTTTCATAAAAGAAAGTTTTTAATACCAATAGAAGAGAAAGGAGAACTCAGTACAAAAGACGAGCTTTTAATTGGGCTAAATTTATCTTTTGGAGAAACTCACTACTAAACCCTAATTTACTCATTTTGTCCATATACAGGTGAATTTGCCTCAGGAAAGGGGATCAGCAGATTTAAAGATTACAGACCCAAGATGTAGAAAGAATAAAGAGCAAGGAAGGGGAGGTTTACATTTCTCTTCCAAAGCAATTGTTTGCTTTCAAAAAAGAAAAAAACAATCTTTCTGCCCTCATTAACAAACAGCAGAATTTACAATTCAAAAGGCTTTTATAGTTCACAGGAGACAAAAATTTAGAGAAAGCCTTCCCTTTTGTTTGCATTTTGCAGCAATCCATTAATAGTTTACATTTCATTGTAAAGTTAAAACTTGTTTTTAAACTAGTCATTACTTCAGGGAAAGATAATTGATTTGGATTGCTGCTGCTGCTGCTAAGTCTCATCAGTTGTGTCCGACTCTGTGCGACCCCATAGACGGCAGCCCACCAGGCGCCCCACCCCCCCCGCCCCCTCACCGTCCCTGGGATTCTCATGCAAGAACACTGGAATGGGTTGCCATTTCCTTCTCCAATGCAGGAAAGTGAAAAGTGAAAGTGAAGTCTCTCAGTCGTGTCCGACTCTTAGCGACCCCATGGACTGAAGCCCACCAGGCTCCTCCATCCACAGGGTTTTCCAGGCAAGAGGACTGGAGTGGGCTGCCATTGCCTTCTCCAGTGATTTGGACACTACTCCTAATTTTGCTGGGCTTCCCTGATAGCGCAGTTGGTAAAGAAGCCACCTGCAATGCAGGAGACCCCGGTTTGATTCCTTGGTCGGTGAGATCTCCTGGAGAAGGGAACAGCTATCAACTGCAGTATTCGGGCTGGGAGAATTCCATGGATTGTATAGTCCATGGGGTCAGAAAGAGTTGAACGTGACTTGACTTGACTTCACTTCCTAATTTTGCTAATGGTCCTCCTCTGTGTGGATGACAGCCCTGCCCAAGTCACCCCAGTGCTTCCAGGATCGGAGTCCAGTTGGAGAGAATGGTAAGGGTGCATGCAAGCCTGGCAATGGTGATGGGTTTTCTAGCCCACTGCAGTAGTTTGCCATTGTTTAGTCACTCTGTCATGTCTGACTATTTTGTGACCCCATGAACTGTAGCCTGCCATGCTCCTCTGTCCGTGGGATTTTCCAGGCAAGAATACTGGAGTGGGTTGCCATGTCCTTATCCAGGGGATCTGCCTAACCCAGAGATTGAATTGGTGTCTCCTGCACTGCAGGAGGATTCTTTACCACTGAGCCAC